TCGATGCAATAAATTTCAACAAAGAGTGAGTAATTTCTCCCATACTGTAATTACTTAATATACAATAACATCGCCAAAAAAAATTGAAAATGATATAAAGTCGTTAATTTTATGGGTCGTTGACTTAATCGTCATCTTGAAATTTATCTTAATACTGATATGTTAAGTAATAAAAAATTATCAAAAAAATTCTATGGTGCAGTTTATCTTTTTAATATCATAATTCAATTAGATTACAACCATTTAAAAATTGACACATCATTTGTCAATTAGAAAAGATTCCTTTAATAAACGGCTCAACGGGTGATTTTAAAAGGGATAAGATGTAACACCCCCTAATTAGCTTCAGCCAGCTTAACACTGATAAAAGAGACTTACCAAGGTGTTAGCTCACGCCGGTTCTCACACTATAGTTACTCAATAACTATTTAAATTACACTTTAAAATAACAAAGTTATGTCCTACTAAACATTATCAATATTTCTACTCAAAAGGCTAAAAAATTGTATTTTATAAGCCCCTTGAGACCTATGAGAGAGAGAAAGAAAGGATTCAGGTGCATCTTATTCAATAGGAACTGGCCTCTATTTATAGGCAAGTAGTTACAGATATAAGAATCACGAATGTGAGTTCTAACTAAATATTATCTCTGTACATGGAATCCTAATATAACTCTCATATCTTGTGGACATCCACATTATTAATATATTTATAACAATTATTAATATAATTAGCAATTTTCTTTTGATATATGGTGTTCCAAAAATGCCCCTAACCTGGGTCGGGTCAACAAGGAATTCGGGACGGAACAATGAAAATGGACCAAAATAGTTTCAAAATGAAATGTAAAGACTCCATATAAATGTTGATGTAAGGGACCAAAATTTAAATTCGACCAAATGTACTGACTATTTTTGTAGTTTAATCTTTTCTGCAATTTCAAGTCACAGAGTAAACATGCTCTCTTTAAGTAGAATTTCTAAAGATCTACATAGCTTTTTGATGCATCACAAACTCAAGATAAACATAGGCACACGGGTAAGTCTTTCGCAAGAGTACCATGGAGATAAAGAACTAGAGACATGAAAATTAAATTTCTCAAACAACAATTCAAATATGAATTTCGGACATAATGAGATGGAGTTCTTATCACAGTCGTTCTTCCCGTTTGTTTTACATCCTAACTAAAATTCATACATCAAAACATCAAGAAGTTATTTTTAATACACAAGACCAGCCCTAAACAACGAAGCACAACATGCAATCAAAGAAAGAAAATAAAAACCCTCATTCACAAACTGCTTCCAATCTCACAAACACGAGCAAATACATTGCTTTCTGTGGAATAATCCAACAGCCTAAGAGAATTAACAACACCAGAAACGAAAGAAGTAACATCTCTAACAGGTCCTAACTCCTATTATTTAAATTAAAAGTTTTAATTAAAATTCCATAAGAAAATTACCATATTACCTTTTGCAAATTACCAATTGATGCGCTCTCTCTCTCTCTCTTCTTCGAATCGAGCTCTAAACTAACAGCTCTAATCCCTAATTCTCTCCCTTATACTTCTGAAGGAATTTACTAACATTACACCGATGCGGAAATTATCAAGATTTTGCTCTCTTCGATTCTTTGAACCCGCGGTACAACTTCGAGTGATCCAAATTTTTACCCACCAATCAAGTATCCCGTATCAATTGACAAGAATCTACACTCTGTATATTGGTACTGTGATAATATTGTGTGTTTCTCTCATATGACTTAATACGTATTTGATATCTCATTTAACAGTGAGGAAAGAGAGTCAAGGTTACAGAGAGTTCTCATCCTGATAACGATCTGGAGGGGAATGATTTGATTTGAGTTGGTAATAGAATAGACTTATTCTGTCTAACCAACTCTATCGGGTTAAACACATTCGGGTCGGATCGTCATGGGCGGACCAACCTGGTATGTGAACCCATTTTTCAACATCTCCCACTCGTACATGACTAGGAGACAATATTGACAAATCCTTTGTTTTTTCTTGAAGGTAGAAGAAGAATTTGCCAAAGATATTACAAGTAGGAAGTATGTCTTTCTCCAACAAACATCATTTTGACACTTCATAATATTTTTGGATTCATTCCAAAGCCTTCACATATTGTCCTTGTTGCTTGAAGATGGTTCTTGTTCTTAAAACTCAAATATACTTCGACGAGTAATATCATCTGGATATAGCCTCTTTCCTAGACATTTTCTGGTCATTATTTGTCGCTCATCTTCTAACATGTTGTCAAGCTCAAATCCTCTTATGTTTTAAGTACTATACCATGGCACATATATATGCCATGACATTGAATAAATGGATGAAAAAAAATCTATTAATCTCACAGCTTAAGCAAAGCATTGAGCATTTTGTTAATTGTAAAAGTTCTCCATTTATGAACTGAAGGGTCATCATCATTTATTTTAGAATCTAAGGATTATTATGAATTTAACCATTAACCATTCAATTAAAATCATAAAAGGCAGTATAGTGGTTATTTCGAATTAAAATGAAGTTTTGTGTTCAATTTATATTTCAAAGTTCAAACTAGCAGTATATAATTATAATATAGAGCACCTAGGTACACCTTGCAAGGTGTACCTAGGTTGATACACACGCGCCCAAAAAGGGGTAAAAAAAAATCCTCAATTCCTGATATTTCTCCTAATTTTTAGCCATCATTAACCATATCCAACTTACTATTCCATTCAATCCAAAGACATCTCAAACTAAAATATCTAAAAACTCAAATTTCATATCTGCAGCGATTTGGCATCAGAACCTCTCGTCGGCGGTATTTTTGAAGACGGAATCCGGTTGTGCATCAAATCCCCTGAGTTTGTTTGCAATATACGCTGCTGAATATGAGAATTAAAGTAATATATAATTTTATTTATCAGTTTTGCTTGTTTCTTCCATGTATGAAGTTCTAATAATGATATTTTTTTTCTGAAATATTCATATAGAGGGCCACGATTGTGTATTTTGATTCGAATAAGAGTAACTTGATGAGTGAAGAGAGAAGGAGGTAATACTATTAATTTCTTCAACAATTGATGTTGTGTTTTTTGGTTGGGTTATATGTAGATCTGAGGACTCTGTATTCCATTATAAATGGTTGCTCACCAATTTTTTAGTTTTGTTCATCCATTTGTTGTTGATTTTAGAAGGATTTTTCAGATCTTTTTGTTATTCAACAATTACCCATCCTTTATTCATCGATAATAATGGATTATTCATCATAATGATTGTTCGTTCGAGGTGTTTTTATGATGGGTTTTGAAGATCTGATTTATATGCATTCAAATACATATCTTTATTCATCGATTTCTACAAGTTGTTCATCGTTTTTTTTTTGTTGTGCGTTGTTCATCAGATCTTTTTCAATATTTATCAGTTTGATATATGGTTTCTGCATTCGTGTACAAATGGTTGTGCATCAGTTTGATATATTTATTCATTAGTCATTGTCTACAAAGATATTATTCATTTGTAATAAGAATGTTATTCAACCGTTGTCATTCGTGACTTTAGACTGTGTTATTCATTATTTTAGATGTTTTCAAACTATTCATTGTTATTGAAATGGAATCTATTGTTCATCAACTACGTTGTGTTATTCATCAACAACACTATTTTCGTCACATTAGTTGAGGTGTTGTTTATCAAATTCGTTGTTTATTAACTACAATGTATTATTCATTCATTGTTCATAATTACAGAGCATCGTTGTCATTCATTACTTTAGACTGTGTTATGCATTATTTAGATGTTGTCAAAATATTCATTGTTATTGAAATGGAATATGTTGTTCATCGACTATGTATTGTTATTCATTAACTATACTATTTTTCGTCACATTATTTGAGGCGTTGTTTATCAGTTTCGGTGTTCATCAACTACAATGTATTATTCATTCATTGTTCATAATTGTTTATCGGCTTTCGTTCATCGACTATGGTTATTCATCATGCGAATTTAAGATATTCATTACACCACTATCGTGTTACTTATTTGTTTGTTAATGTTGCCCTTTATTGACATAATACATCAGTAAGGATAAAGGGGAACAACCAGATGTTGCAGCAAGCCGAGTATTAGGAGCTGAAAGGACCCCACCACCAATAAGTGTTGAAGTGGAAATCGAGTTACATGTGAAAATAATGACCAGTTTTTCACATGTGAAATTGAGTCATATCGGCGAATTTTTCAGTCCTTATATGTTAAAAGCAATGACTAGTTTTTTTGTTCAATTTTGGTCTAGTATAATACATAATTAGAAGTTTGTTGGCTTCGTTGTTGACATTAACACATTGTAAAATATACTCTTGTTAGTTTTCTTGATCAAAGTTATTCGTTCTATTGTGTGTTATTCATCCACTAACGATATATTATTTAATCATTAAAGTATAATTAATCATCTAATAAAACTACATATATTCTTCATTTTAGTATTGTTATTCATCTAGAATGAGATCATTATTCATCGAGATTTGCATCGTTATTCATCTTGTGAATATCATTATTCATTTTAAAATTTAAATTTACTTACCATAAATTTGTCACTATAAGAACACCATCATTAATCCACAATATTATCATTATTCATCGAAAAGCATACCATTATTCATCAAACAAACATCGTTATCTATTAAAATCTTCCATATTCAATTTTACCAAATTTGATAAATATTTTATATGTTATCAATTTCAAAATAAAAAACTGAATTTAGGATAACTTACATCATCAAATTTAAATAGAGCTTAATAGAAAAAAATTAGATGAAGATATAACAATAAATAATAAAAAATAGAATAAAATAAAATTGTATAAAACAGATGAAGATAAGCGAGAAGAAAAAAGATTTGAAATTAAATGTTTGCTGAAAAAAAAAAAGAATTATGTGTTTAATTAATCAAATATACGCGTAGATAGATTAATTCATGGGTAAAATACCTAGGTGCTTATGTTATTTGCCGGCAGTACAGTGTTTGCTGCCATTTGGTTTAGGTTCTAAAAGAAACTAATGAATCGATGCTCAAAATCTCCCCTACTCTGAAAACTCCTAATTTCTGCTCAACTCCATGAACCACACTCTCTCACATATCCTTTCTTTCCCCATTCATGATGACCACTCAAAACTGTGCCGTTTTACTCACCGGCGCAACCATCACCGGTTTACCGTCACCAGCAGAGTATATGCCAAGGCCCGCCGGCACTACCGCAGCCGTCTCCGGAAGCAGCAGCCTGCCTCCGACGACTCCTTTTCTCCGCCGTCTGAGCAGAGCCTCCAGCTCATCCTAGCCGTAGACAAATTCGCCAACTCCAAGCCGGTTAGTTTACTGGGCGAAGTCGTGGATTCATCCCAGTTGAAGTTCAATCAATTCATTCACTCGGCAGAGGAAGCTGTTGAAGATCTCAGGACTCTCGTCACCGTTGACGGCGCTACTAAACGCGTTGTTTTCTCGTGTAAGAAATCCACGGTTCAGTTTCTAGGGTTCGTTTTCGCCGCATGTTTAGTAGTTTCGGTTAGTTTCAGGGTTTTAGTTAGTTTGTTGATGTATGGAAAGGATAGGCTTAGCGGTAATAGTGGCGGAGTGATTTATAGAAGGGATCGGAGTTTGGGCGGAAAAGTAGTTGCCGTGGGTCAAACGGATTCCGGTACTGTCAAAAGGAGGAAGGAAAGTAGAAATGATATGTTTATGTTGATGTTGGAGGATGGAAATGAGAACAGGAAGCCGTTTTGGCAGAGGACCAAGAGGAAATCAGTTGAAAGATTACCTCAATGGTGGCCTGTTTCTGGATTGAATCCTAATTCCAGCGAGGTAGTGGATCATAAAGAGGAGTATCAGATGTTGGCCAACAGATTGATACGAGGTTGGCATTATTTTTACACTTGCTTGTTTCGATTTTATTTCTGAATTTTGTTTGGAATTTATTAGACTGCATACTATCATTATATTTGGTCGTTAGCTGATCGTTTAATTGATTATTTGTGCTTTTTTTTTGGTATGTATTTATATCACTGAAAACTGAATTGAAAAGTGGTCTGGAGGATGAAAACTTAAAGAAACAGAACATGTTGGGATTTTCGGACTGCATCAGACAAATGCATATAGGATATTACTGTAAGAAACATGGATGAAAATTTCTCTGAATTTCATGACCCAGAGGAGCCGCAAAATGAAGACCTTGACAATTAAGTGGAGTTCAGTCAGTAATAATACGATGAAGTTTTATTGTCAGTCTTCAGGAACTATATGTAATTTTGATTCAACTGATGAAACTAAAATAGTAAAGTAAGAAGTTTTAAAACTGTAGAATTTATCTGTGATTTTGGTAGAATTCCATTCCCTTGGCAGTGCTGTTTTCAGGATTCTCCCGTGCCAGGCACATAAGATAAATGCACTTCAACAATGTGAAGTCCCCCTGATATTGGTACATAGAAAGATGTCCCCGTTATTTTTGTCTTGCTAACCACAATAAGATAACTAGGTGAGATAATACAGCAGTCAGAATTAGAGTCTATTTTATCTGTAGCTCCTTTCTGTGCCACACATGAAGATACCTCATAGGTGCTCCAGGGATCAACCATGGGAATTATAATATGCGATAGTTGTTCTAGTCTCCATAGAGGACTGATTTGGGTACAGCTAAGTTGGTAGGCCCTCATAGACTTGCGACAGGCGCTTATGCTATTGTCCAACCGTAGTGTCCCTGTCAGTGAGTTAAGCTAATAATACAAAGAATTCCATCACGCCACTGCCTATTCTTTTGGAATCTTCAGATTTGTAAATTAGACATGTAGATGCTGTTTAGTTTTAATTAATTGGATAATGATGATTTGTATTCTGAGTCTGAAGGAACTCTGTAATCTTGAGTACAGCCAAACATTATTTAATTAAAGAGAAGAAATTAAAAATAGTTTGTTTGCTGATCATCTAATGTAGAGTTCGACTTCCTAGTTAGTGCTGATGTTTTTACATGATTAAAGCTGTCTTTTGTTTTCCTCATGTGAACATTTCATTGTTATTTCTTTTGGTTAAATGTATATTCTCTGAAACTTAGGCAAACAGTTGGAAAATAATGGATTCACCGTGAAAGTTGATTAGTTGATTCTTTCCTTCGTAGCAAGCAAACATTATTTCGCTTTAGCAGACTATGTGCCTTGGGGTTGGGGATGTGCTTTGGGGTCGGGATACTCTGGCTTTACCAATGATTAAAAAAATATGAATCAAGGAACCAAAGGGCATTGGCCTCCGATTTTAATAGCGGGTTAGTCTTTTAAGTTTGTCTTTTACAAAGATGACATTCATTTATACACTGCATGATAGTTGGTCAAACATTATGTCAGTGGATGCCTAGAAGTTCGTTTACATGATGAACATATCAATTTTTCCTAAGGTCATTAGCTTAAGCTCATTGCTATTAACTTGTTACTGTTGTTGATTTTCTTTTCCCTCTAAATGTAAGAGAACTGGCTACAGAAAACGAATGTAGTTTTACCAAAGTTGAATGCTATTGAATGAGAAATTTCTTTGGCTGTAAATTTTGGATGTTTGTCTTTAATCAGGTAATGTTCCTTATTTCTCAAATTCCTATGTTGAGGTACATCTATTTCTCTTCAATTAGTGGCTTACAACTTTGCTTTCCAGCGCTCATGGACAAAAGAATGAGGGGTGAAGATGTTACACCAGATGACATAGTTCAAGTTAGTAACTTTAATGTGCTTTCATGTCTTTTTACTAAAGATGTTCTTGTACTTCATTCTTTTTTTTTTTTTGTGTGTGTGTGTGTGTTTCGAATTTGGAATTTAATTGCCCCATGTTTCATTGTGTTCTTACTACTCTCTTTGACCATTCAAGCATGTACTTGGTGGATGGGTGTTGCAATGTCTACGTCTTCAGTGTGTTCTCTCGCCATTATATTTTCATGGCACTTCCATGCTTTGAGCTTCTGTTCCTATTGTTTGATCTTTAATAGTCTTTGCACTTTCTGAGTAGCCAATCTCATCATGCTCTCAAGCGTATTTGAAGTGCTTAAAGAAATGGTCTGCAACTTTAGAAAAAAAATCTATTGTTTTCACTTCAGAAATATGTCGTGCACTGATGAAACCTTTTGTAACTTGTAAAGAAGTAAATGTGTGGTTGCTCCCTGTGTGGAGTTCAATGTTCCCTTTAATGCTTCAATAGTAGTTGTTTTTGCACCACAATTTTCTCGTCTTTCTTTTTTTGTCCCCCTTGGCTGTTTTAAGTTTCAATTGCAGTTATCTTTATGATAATAGGTTTTCCTTTAAACCTGCTCCTTTAATTGTGAATTTTGCAGTTACGTCGTGTATGCAAAGTATCTGGTGTGAGTGTTTCCATTGACACAGAGAACACACGGGATTCATTTTACCGTGCTGCAGTTGACTTTGTTCTGAAATATTGTGAAAGGTGAGGATTCCAGTGTTAGGTGTACAACATATTATTTCCCTCGTTTAGCTTTGATAGTATATAGATAATTCAGAAACTCAAATTTTATTTATTTATTTATTTTCTTAAAACAAAAAGTTGAGTTGTTTATGACTGCTCTGCTTGTTTGACATGACTATTTTGTTCCTGATGTCATTGTAAACAGCACGGAAGATCAAAATGCTTTTGTTAATATTGGAGGCGAGGATGCCCGGCATTTTCTCGCTGGGCTATCTGAAAACATAGTTCTTGAGAGTGGCCGTGCTGCACGGATGGTTTCAGCAGCAGTAGCTGCACGGACACGATCGCGTTTTTTGCAGGCATGGGTATGTAAACTATATCTTGCTACCCTTTATTTTTACGGTAATACTCCCCTGTCCCCCCCAAAAAAAAAATAGTCCAGAGTTTTGAGATTTGTACTACTTTTAGTACAAATCTTTACAGTCAATGTGGACAATTTTTTAGGGACAGAGGTAGAGTATATCATATTCTTTCTGTCCTTATCATACCCATGACAGTGAACTTCACTATCTTGGAGAATCAATTTTATTTTTAAAAAATCAATTGCGGCAGATATTCTGTCACAAAAAAAAAAAAAGGAAAAAGAAAAAGAATACAGTTACCGGTTCTTTATCTATAATGCTCAGTTTAACAAGTTATTTTTTTAATCGCCCTCGGGTGATCAATGCCTGAAGTTCCTGAAACATAAATTCTGGAGCTTTTGTGTGAACTAGAAATGCTTTAGTGTTTTGTGGGGAAAGAAGCGACATACTCTTTTCAGTGACATTTTATGTGCTGACAAACAAGTTATATATGAATTTGTTGGTATCAGGCCCTGCAAATGCAAGGTAATCATTTTGAAGCAGTTGCTGAGTTATCGAAGATATGTCTCATACACCGGATATTTCCTCCAGAAGAGAACTCGGTAGAGTTTCTCTCTTTTTCGCCTACTTCTTTGGAGTTTTGTGATTTCTGCATGTTCTCCTCATATTATAAAGTTCGATTATGTGGCGATAATATAGGTAATAAAAATTTTGATATCTGTTGGACATGGTGAAGCAAAGTAAGAAATCTGTTGCCTTCTACTCCATGCTATCCATAGGTAGCTTTATCATGCCTTGATTTACTAAATTCGTCAGTTACTAATTTGCAGAAAACGATTAGAATGCGCCATTTATCTTATTGCAAATCAGAACATAATGATAGTGTCCAGTAGCAACATTTGATTAAATAATCGACTTCCCTTAGTTACAGTGGAATGAAAACTTCGGTATTCTACCATAAAAAAAAAAAAAGAGTTTTAAGAGGTATAACTCTGTATAATCTCCTCTGAGGTATGAATTTTAAACCAAGTTTAATGCTTATCTTTTGGAAGTCATTTGCAGCTTATCATTTGCTTATGCTGTAGTCTAAGACCATCGCAGTGTCCTCCAATTTTGCATTGGTTACTTCATTGACAGTTGGATGTCTTGTAGAAGAACCTTATTTGGGCATTTGGGTTTGACTATTTTGACCTAAGTTAGTTGTCTCTAAACAAATTGGTCTTTCTTTGATGTATTTGTACTCCTCTGCAGGCTGAGATGGAAATGGTTGCACGAGGACTCAAAAAACAATTGAATGTCGAACAAAGAGAACTTTTGCTGAACATGCTTATTAGGACATGCGGTGAAGCGACGCGTAGAAGTGTCACCGAAGCATTGGGACTGGTACCTTAGTGATTTATATTTTTATTGTTTTCATCAATGTTCTGGACAATAATTTTTGTTCTGTAATGATTTTGGTGCGCATTATACTGAACACACTCCTGAAATCTCATTATGACCCTTTTCTCATCTTGGCCTTCGAACCTTCATTGATGCAGTTAAATCATGAGGTGGTAATTGACCTTCATTGATTACTGTCTTGAAAAATTGGGTTAGCAAATATTTGTATCTTGTTTATGGACGTAGATGATTACTAATCTGGTTTCTTTGATAGGGATGTCCAGAGTGACCTTTCATTTGCATTTTTCATTTTTGTCGGAAATTCTCATTGGTATTCCTAATTTCTTGTGCAGGTATCTACTCAAGGTGGTTTTGAACCGCAAAAAGACAATTTTACTGAGGTAGAAAAGGACATTGTACAGTAGATTCATCAGAACTCTGGTTCCTGAAAGTACATTCTGTAAATAATATCATTCATCCATTATTGTTGCCTCCATTTCATTTATATAAGGCGTATTGATCTCATAAGTTACAATTTTTTTGGTCTGGCTAAAATTTCTATAGTTGGAATTAATAAATTTGGGGAAGTCACCGTTTTGTTTCTTGAATTTTGGACTTTGTTACGCTTTTAGAACTTTTCATATTTGGTTCTTTTTATTTTTGATTTTAATTAGAATGATAGTTGTCCTTTTTTAGTGTTAGACTCGGCTTGTCTTGAAGATCTCTCTTACTCTCTTACGTTATGGTTTGATACTTTTGGGGACTAAAGAAAGGACCAAACACATTATTCAGATTCAATAAAAATTTACAGAATACTTTTTTCTCGTCTGAAAAATTCATTCCTTTTAAAAAGGTTTTCTTTCAATGTACTGTTTCGGAAAAAGTTGGAAACAAAAACATTAATTTAAGATAATAATATGAAAATATGGTTGGAGGACAATGGGTGAGTGACTGAGTGTTACTTTTATTATTCCAAAGTTTAAAATCATTTGGCAACCCAATTTAAAAATGAACTAAAAACATATTAATGCCAAGTTCTGGGGCAGCTACCTTATCAAGAAATATTAATGGATTGGTTGATACATGGCCATTGTTACCCTGAGCAACTACTACATGAGTGAAGACAAATAACTAATTACATCAATAACTAAATATTACATTTACCTACACTAGAACATCTACTAAGATGCCAAGATGCTTGGATTTCCAACCTTTTCAAGTAAAACCATATATGTGCTTGTTTGAACCAAATCTTCTTCAAAAACACAATGCTGAAACATCATAAGAATGCTTCACCTTACGGAAATTATAGCAAGTTCGTGCTTGTTCGAACAATCCTCTGAGCTTCTTCTAGATCTTTTAAGAACCTGCACCAATAGAGTGCAACCAGGATCTTTAAACTGGAATACTGACTAGAAGGTGTAACAGAACTGCGGGAAAAAATAAATTTAGCGGCATCACTAAGATTTAGAAACGATCTTATCATTCTGGTTCGCAAGTATGTAAAATTTTGAAACCTCAAGTGATGCGTTGATTAACCACTTGCAGAAGATTCTAAGGAACCACCAAGAGACAATGACCATATAAACAAACCATAAATAAAAGATGCAAGCTAGTTCACATGTCTTATGAGAAAACTACCCGATGGGCAAATAAAAATAGATAAATAAATGACAAAACATTTACTGGCGCATATTTGCAGTTAACCTGTCAATAGGGACATTCTAAAGAACCATAGCCTGTTGGAGAAACAGATAAGACCACTCACCACTTAGAATTCAGAATTGCAGAACCACCAAGTATGAAACGGATGCCAGAATTCAGAGCATTTTGTAGGGCAATCGAACGTGATTCCTCGTAAGTTGTCCCACCAACAATGAATATAATCACTTCTTGGAGCCTGCAAGAAATGAGATGAGAAGTTAAGGTTGGTAATTAACAGCTGGATCAAAAGGCCATATTTGGTAAATTGCTTTTGTTTGTTTTGTGTTCTCCACAATTTTCAATACACGTGTAAATTTCCAAAGCAAAATCTTTCAACCCAAATAAATTTCGGAAGGAAGTCCTGGGTTCAGAAGAAACTGCTAAAAAGAAAAACCCAAATGGACTGACCTCCCTTGTTGAAAGTGATTCCCCACAAAAGGATAGTCGACATCTTTCAATCGCCCCTTGGTAATGCTCTCCATTATTTGAAACAAAAGTGGCTGATGCTGGGTGTACACATTCTCGACCCCCTGGAACAAGTAGTTTAATACATGCAACACCGTTCATTTTTAAAAGAACAGACACAAAAGATTCTCAGCCAACCTTAAGCCCACGAGCCATATTGCGTGCAATATTTAGAAGGTCGCGGTTCCCATACAGATCCCCAGTTCGCTTATCAACTCCTGCTTGCTTTAATAAGAATTGCACAAGCTGCAAATGTGATGGGAATTGACTTAGATACCTATTCTGCTTTTAAATATCACCATTTAAAGAGTTTATCTTGACTACGAGGACCTGGGTTTGAATGTCACAGGTGAGGGAAACCCAAGACTCAAAATAAGATACAATGGATATAGACTAGTTAAACATTAGCAGAAAATATAAATCAGAAAAAACCTCGTTGAAATAATTCATTACCCCAGGCTTATACTTGGGAGATCGGGACGCCAATTTGTTAAATAACTGCATCAGTTGGACAGGACTCTCCTTTTCATAGCGCAAGGCATATAGCATTACTAGACGTAGTCGATCAATGTCAGAGACACTGTCATCATTCAGAAGATTTGTCACAGCCTGTGAGAAGTATGTCAGTAAACAAGTCAACTGCTGTTGATATTGTATATTGATGTGTCTGAACTTGAGCTACGCAGTACCAAAAAAAAAAAAAAAAAAACTTGAGCAACAAAAACTTTACTGCTCACACACAATCTTTGGAATCAGACACTTCTATATGGAAATTAATAAGAAAAAAATCTGATATATGCCCATTCAATTGCATTAAAACGATTAAATTAACAGAAACTCAATATAAAGCAGTCATATGTACTCCTCCCTAGTACGTAAGAGAAAGTAGATCCGCATGGTATCCCAATTGAAGCAGGGAGAATGAAAAATTTGGGGATGTGGCTAATAAAAAAATTTAATGAATTACCGAAAATGTAGAAGTTGGGACAGAGTTTACTAAAAAAATTATTCTAATACGAAAACTAGAAAATGCACAACTAATAGAAAAGAAGCATGTAGTAGAACCAATTTCATTTAAGCTAGGAAGATCTTCATGAGAGCTATACATATAACGAGAAGACTATGCAACAAGACAAATAATAATTAAAAAAAATTAAATTATATCTGGTGTTTAATGATGTTGGAAAAGCATATGATGGAACATTGGAAAAGTGAGACTGGAGTAGCTTATATTAAAGTTGTAAAGAGAGAAGTATAAAAATGTAACGGGGTAGGGAGGAAGATTGAGTGAATTAAGAATCGGTTTTGCATCCAGAATCAGCTTTGAGACTATTCTTTCGCATAAGTAATTGACGAAATTACTAAGCATCTCATTCTGCAAAATTATCTATGTTATCTTTGGAAACAATCTCTGAAGTCCTTCAATCATAACTATCTAAAGCTATTGCCAGACAGCCTACATAAGAAAAGTTCGCATTGTTGCATGCTGTGCAATTTGAGAAAACCGAAAAATTCCAATAGCTAATCACTGGAAACCTTAACTTTGGGCCATATTCAGCTAAACTCGAAAAATTAAGTGCAGTTTATAAAGCAAAAATGTAGTGCTGCCTTGCTTCAGTAAAACCTCACTTCTTTGACATCTTCTATTGAACCAAATCCTTTTCTTTCTTAGCAAGGGCAATTCTCCAATGTTTTCCTTCAATTCGCTATTTTTATCATCAAACCACAGAAAACGTACAAGTTTGCCACCTTGAAAATGGATTTATTTGAATGTCATCTTAAGGACTCAATTGTGCAAGGCTCACACTTCTCTTTCTCAGGAGTCAGTGCTTCTGCACAGTTATTCATTGCAGTCTCCCCAACTATATCACATATGTTCATAACCAGGAAAATTCTTCAATTTCACCTATTTATTCTGAGTTAGCAGCTCTAACTTGGCATGAAACTGCAATATAGACCCTAACACCAAATTTGATGCCAGAACAACAACAACAGCAACAACAGCCACATAGGATATTCCCAAATATGATGTAACTAGAGACATCAAAAGACTAGGACAAGAAAATGAGAACCTAGTTGAACGGATACAAAGACCAAGTTATTCTAAATCCAAGAAAGATCCAAATATTCATTTATAAGACACAGCAAGATATTCCTTATCTTTACTAATACAAAAATTATTTGAATTTCCAAGTTGGCAAACATCTGAAGACATCAATAGGAAAATGAGTCGAATTGGAGTATTAATGCCAATCCAAAACCATTGAAGTTTTCCCTAAAGCTCTTCAAACACAAGAGAGAACAGAATACCAACTGAATATGATAATCCCAAAAACAACAAATCAGATAACTCTCTAAGGACTTGAATCTTCCATATTCCTCAAAAGTGCAAACTCAAAACTCAAAGTTTAACATGTGTTCATAGCCGTTAAATTCTTGCACAAGGGAATACTGACAAAGTCTGCCCTAATTTTTAACCAAATGGCAACACAAATTCTTATTATTAAGGATGAATTCACAGGCTATCAACCCTTTTTGCAAATTTGCCTAAAACTGCGTCAAAATTTTCAACGGTAGCCTCTCTATTAGCTACTAATGAAAATCCCCTTTAGTTTTCCAAATGAGTTTAACGTTCTCCAATCAGCTTATTCGAGTCACTATGCCCAAGCCTTTCAAGGCTGGTCCTAAGGGATGTTACAAAAACCTCCATCTCGACCCAAATGAAATTATAATATAACGGCCCCCACCAAAAAAAACACCAGATGTTCTTAATGTATATAAAAGCAGGTGGGGGAACAGTTACCCAGGAAAAAAGTTTATTTTGATAGACATAAGGATAATGTTTTGACAACATGAGTATCGATACAACTCAGGTCATTCTACATTACCATTAGGCCTTTACCAACTTCATCAGATTGTTATTGACATCACGGCAAACAGGGGTGATGAACATTGCATAGCAAGACTGATGGTTGAAAAATATTTCAAATTCCCAACATCTACTACCCAGAAGAGTTACATGTAAAATAAAGTCCACGCCAAATCAGAACACTTCTGGATAAACACTATCTGATTCCAATGCTCAAAAGTAACAGAAACTAAAACAAGAGTTGAAATTTAAACCTCAAAAGCTGCCCCTTGACCACCATTGCAAGCCAGCTCTTGTTCTGTCTGAGAAACTAACATGAGTTTTCTTTCTTCAACTATCTTGCTCATTTCAGTTACAATCGTCACATGTTTTGAAACGTTTCCGTGCATTTTTCTATATTGAGGGTAGTTGTCAACAAACTTAGCCATGTCCTCTGCAAGAAATTCAAGAGGCAAAATATTCTAAGAAACATGCAAGTTCCAAATTATAAGATTCATTTAAGTAACCATGTTATCCTCAATTGAAGTAGGTGAACTCTGCAAAGTACCAACCCACGGTCTGGATGTTCTGGTTGCTCTTTGCAATTTGCTGAAAATCATCAACCATTTTTTTAATGTTCATTCCGATGTCCCCAAAATTTTCAAACATATTAGCCTTGAAGAATGCGTCCTGCTCAGACGATAGAACAACCTCCTGAAACAAATAATTTCAGAAAATCAACACCCGCTCCACATGAAAAACAAAACATGTATCGCAAATTAATAGATGAGAACCTGCTGATCCTTGGGAAGCTTGCCAATGTTTCTCAAATCTACTTTATTGTCTTGAATGCCCATTAATTCATGCACCATAGCCTTGAAGCAAATTGAAAATTACTTCAGCAAGTATTACAAAACCAAAAGAATTGAAAGCACATAAGATACAGTGCATGGAAACAACACGAACAATTATGATTACAGAATATGTCATTCACCTGGTATGTCCATTGATTGAGCAATGGGGTAACAGGGTCATCTCTTCTATCAATAACTAACAACAGGGGAGCAACTTCTGTCCGTCTAAAATCGAAAAGACCACTTTCCTGCTGGTACATCAGTTTCTACAAAATCCCACAGAAAGAGAAGTTTATAACGTTTTGATCAGTTGTCTATACAGGAATTAGCGACCATTCCAAGATAATCATAGATGAAGTATGAAACTGAAACTAAACCTTCACATAAGAAATATCAGAAAGCAACCAGCAATTTAACCAAATTAGCAAGGACACTGTCCTCTAGTGTAAGCATTCAAAAATTTAGCTTTATATTGGTAGATTGGCATACCCCCACTTCCTGGGCTATCCGTTTTGAAATGTCTGATGATCTTGAATACCGGATAACTGGTCTTCGTTTTAACGCCAAAAACAAAGCAGCTATTCCATCAACAACTCGTTCACAAAACTGCTGCAAACGCGTCGGGTCAACAACTGCTGGGATCATGTACATGTGGTTGGATCCCATGTTTAAAGTGAAGTGGAAAGGGTCTGAAGCAACAAAATCAGCAAAGAACTCCTGCATAAGTCAGATCCCTAATTTCAGGCGCTGAGAGAGACCGGGAAGGGGGAAGGGGGTTGACGGGGTGGTTGTGGAGAGACAACTGATCAAGTTGAAACATTACCTGCACCTGCTGCACAACTTCATGTTCATCTGAATCAGCTAGATTATGGAGCTGGGTATCTTTCAGCATGTTTGAGAAAACTGTCAAAACCATGGGCAGAATTGGACACCAAGTTGAAAATTTTAGATGCTGATCCTTTAAATCCTAATCCTAAGAAACAAAAACATCATACAGAAAGCACACAGTTCTATTAAATTGTCAATCGACTTTTATTTGCAACAGTTACAACTTCAATTTAGTACCTTCATGACTCTGGTAAATTGTACAGATAACGCTTTTGCTTCTCACATAAAGAAAATAAAATATACATAACCTGCACCCTCAACAAGCAGAAAATACTTACAAAGGTGATACTCGCCAAACCGAGGCTTTGCCAGCTGGCGCCGCATATGTTGAATATTCTCAGATGTTGGCCGGAGGAAGTACACTGCTTTTAGGTGCGACATTGGTTCTTTCGACATTGTAATAGAATCTATAAGTTCTACCAAGAAAACTTCTTTCTGAAGTAGCTCTGACTGAGAGTATACAACACTGACAACACTAACCTGCAACCAATTGACAAATACCCAAAAATAATTTCAGACCTTCAGTATTCCAACTTTTGAGACTGAACATAATTACCGAGACTTCAACCAACATATTAATAGAAAACCATGTCCGTGTCATAACACTATTATGTGTATAACCATGTCCGTGGCACTGTTATGTGCTTAAAAATTACTAATAAAAGATGTACTTTTAACTTTGAAATTCCTGAACCAAATTACAGGAACGGGCCGACCAGGCTTCCGCTCTACGAATTACCTAAATACTCTACCACAAATCCTTTCAAAGCAATGCAGCTAATAAACTGTCAGCCGGAACCAGACAGTGGTATGCAATCAAACTAACAAAATCTGAACACCAAAATTGATCTCTATGGACCTCTTGCTGCCATAATTAGTTGTAAATTGAATTGGCAAGAGAAAGAATTTATCCAAGTCAAGCTAAATACAAACTTCACTTAATCAACGAGCAATTGTTGAAATCTACAAGCGAGACAAGTTCCCAGGGATCTATTGATTAAACGATTATCAACATCCTGATTATTTTCCAAATCAATAACAGATCTTGAACTATTTCCTGATACCCAAATTCTAAAATCCTGTACCTATACGCTCAAATTCATTCAGAACAATTTCGTCAAAATTTCACCCGCCGATCAGCAATCGAAAGCGTAAATTACGTAGTAGTTAAAAGGAGCGAGAAAAAAAAACATTAAATAGGAAAACCAAAATACAAACCGTAACGGAATCAAGGATGAGAATTTTCATCCCCGAAATGTCTTGAAACATTCGGTTGATGTACTCTCGAACAGCGTTTACCAGCACCATTTTTTCTGGAGCTTCAAAAACTTGCGTGATCCAACTCTACTTTTCAGCTTCTTCGCACAGATTGCCTCTGCAGCAAAGGTTCTGAGATATCTTTCAGTTCAACACTAAACTCCAAATCCTCTCGGTTAAGTTCTGATGAACAAAAGAAGGAAAACGAAAAACAACTCGTTTAATTTGATAGTAAAGTATTTAACAAATGGTTCAGTTGCTTAAAGGAAAGGATTTCGAGTTTCGACTTTCGACTCTGAGCAATGTTTTCAACATCGGGATTTCAGACATGATCGTTTTAGCGCGTCTCAGAATCAGATCAGAATCGATCGGATCGGATCGGTGAGATAGTAAGCCTTTAAAATATTACTAGATGTTTGGCCCGGACAGATGTCCGGACGCCCCCTCTAAATTACTATTTTATTAAAATCTAATTGAATTACTATTTTTTACGGAATTAATTTGGCGTATATATCATTTATGCTATGGTTTGGGGATTAAAAAAATATACCTATAAATCTGAGGTTATAAGGGAATAATAAATAATTAGTTTATAAGGCAATATTAGGCCTGCAAAACTATACGATTGGACATTTGAATTTGAATTAATATATCCATTCATTTGAAATGTAAGTGATCCTTATTTGTAGTAAAACATGTGTTTTTTATTAAAAAAAAAAATCATATAACTTCTAATTAAAAGAGACTTACACGTGGCAAAAAGACTTCTGAAATCTGAAATATGGTGTATTGGAGCCAAAACAGATGCATACGTAGTTGCCACATAAGCTTCATGTCTTTTGCTTTAATAGGGTAAAAGGGATAATAATTCTGAAATTGCGCGTTTCAATTTGTTAGTTCAATTCTTATTTGATTTTATGAAGGAGAAGTAGACTAGTGCCCATATACGTATCATTAACTCAAAATTTCAATTTTTATATCTTTTCTAATCATTTCCCCCTCTTTTTATATAAAATCAACAACTTGTACAAGTATCGACAAAATCATTGGGATCGTTGAATCGTAGGATTTTACGATCCGAATTGGGATTTTGAAGGATTCCATAAGATCCCTACTACAAAGAAGGATTTCATAAAATCCAGGATCGATTTCCTAATTCCGAATCGCAGAATCGTAAGATTCTAATATCCAGATCGAGATTTTGAAAATTATGCTCACAAGACTTCAATCTTCTAAAAATTTCACGTTACAACCCCAGTTTAATTAAAAATGCCGAATTAAGCCCAGATAATTGTAAATCGAAAATTTTGAACTATAAAAATTAGTGTGAAGTTTTGAATAAGTAAATTGAAATTAAAATACTAAATAAATCATCAATCAGTTACAGAACAAGTATTGCATTAAACTAATTTTTCTTATTTAGATATTGCACTGCAATTTAAACACCACTTTATAGTGGAACAAAACACTACTTAATTGACTATCAGGTCAACTTATATTGTTATAAACAAACTCTCAAATGGAAAATTTTAATTGAATAATTTAAGCATTAATTGGTACTATCAAATAATAAGTTACGATTACAACATAATTTCAGCGTACAAATTTTATTTAGTTTTATAAAGGTCAATTACATTTATTAAAAGTTTAGATCTAATAAAAACAACAACTTATGAAAGCAAAGAAATAGCTAAAAAAGATTTTGAAGGGGTGTGATGGAAGGAACTAGCCTCAAGTTTGTACACAATCTCTTCAGGATACAAATGGCTAAGGGGGCAAGCAGAAAAAAAAATTAGAGAAGCAACAATGATTTGGTCCAAGTAAAACATTCCAAAACACTCATTTAGTTCTTGGTTGGTTTGGTGTATAAGGTGTTGACAAAAGAGAGATTGCTGAGATTGACATCCCAAGTGACAAACTTGGAATGCTTGCTATGTAAAAAAGAAAATGAAACTATTAGGCACCTCTTTTTTTATTTTTGCTACTCGTCCGACATGTTGACAGCCATAAAAAAAATGGTTGGGTGTTCAAAACTTGTCTAAAAAGTGGAGATGCTAGAGAAATGAGATATTTCACATATGGAAGAAAGTTACCCTTAAGAGGAAGTTGTTATTCGCCTCACTAATGGCATTGATATACCGTTTATGGGAAGAGAGGAATGGAAGACTCTTCACCGAACAAGAGCATGATGTCAAAACCATCCTCAGAATCATATAACAAGAAGTTTCTTGGAGGATGAGAGGATGCAGTAATAAGAGGTTGTCGGCTAAAGAGAGCTACTGTTGAGTATCTTTTGTAGTTCCTAAATTAACTGGTCATTGTATAAGTTAGTATACGAGGAAAAGGAAGTGAATTTGGTTTTAAATTTGTGCTCAAAAGTTCTATCTATAACATATTTACATTTCCACCGAAAATTAAAAAAAAAATAATAGTAATTATTTTAAAACAATGATGGCAAACAATAAACTAGTGCAAATTATCATGAATCATACGATAGATTTGAGATGATTGCTTGAAAGTTAATGGGGGTAAGAAATAATGGCTCCATTTGGATTGTTATTTTGGTTTATGTTTAGTGATTTTGCGTATTTTTGTGTTTGAGATGCGTTACGAGATAAGTTTTGAGATTGATTTTAAAAAAGCATTTAGACCAAAAAAAAAAAAATTTGTTGACCACCACTACAGCGCCAGCGCTGCCGACCAATGACCGGCCGGCCAAAATTCCGGCTAAGTTGCCAGAAGTTGGCCGGGATTTTGGACGGCCGTTGATGATTTTGGCAAGGTGCTACCATTGGCGCCATTGGTGGAAAGCAGTGTTCAAGGGTGATCAATGAGGTGGTGATTGGTGGGAGGAAAAAATAATAAAATAACTGTGTCAAAACATGTTTTTGGATGGTTCAAAAAACAAATGTGTGCTTGGAGTATTTTGAGTACACAAAACTACACAACCAAGTTTGGACTCACAGTCCAAACAGAGCCAATCTTTTTGGAACAAAATTCAATTATAGGTATCACCAATCTAGAGCCAGTCACTTACCATCACTAGTTCTGATCATACATCGGTTTCGACGCACTATATTGTGCATTCCTATTTTTAGTGTTAAAGTATTGCTCAGATTAATTTGAACTATTTTTTTTTTTTGATCATTTTCCTTGTTGTGTTTGGTCACTTCATAGTTTATGGATTGTTAATTTCAAATTGATTTAAACCCTTCATTGAAATATTGTCCACCTGTCAAAATTTTCTAAAACTCAAAACCAGACTATCTTGAACATGTCGTACGAAGAGGGTTAAGTAATTGGTCAATGGCCCAGACCAGTCCAAGTTCGTGTATGGATCCAACCGACTCACTTGAAAGTTCTAGGTCGTTCACGTCATTACTTTCTCATGAAGAAACGATCTCATAAACATGTAATCCTAGCATTATATATAGGGGTCAACCTCTCATATCAAAGTTACGAATTATGCACCCTAATTTTTTTGTCTATGTAACTATTTTAGAATATTATTGATTTAAATATCAGAGAGTCTACTCTCAAGAGAACCCGAGACTCTATTTTGCAAGTTTTAGGGTTTTAATGCCTCTATGACCGTCAGTGCAGTCAATGGGAGGCGTCGCTGTAATTTTCACCTTCGTCATCATATTTCACAATTTTGAAACTCTTTTTTTAATATTTTCTTCTCCTAAAACTCTTATTAATGAATGAGTTTTGTGTCAGTATTTGTTGTTTATGAAATAGAAACCTGTTGATGTCTCACAAATCTGAATTTTCCGCAACATTCATAATTGAAAGGTCTAGTTTCAACAAATCCTTTTGCTTAATGTGGAACAATTTTGCATAGTTACTTTCATAGAACAATCTCATTGAAATTATTTTTCGGGTTCATAGTTCAAAAAATCTTGTTTGCATCTAAAATGTGATTTGGAAAGAGTCATGCGTAGTGAATTTATTAAGATTAATTCTGAAATTAGTCCTCCACATTAGGTCTTTCTTTTTAAGCCAAAAGGAAAAGGAATCCAAAACTTCGAGAAAAGAATTGTACAATACACAAAGAGGGTATACCTCTAAAATGAATATTGTATCCATCCAATCTCTAGTTTAAGGAATCCTTGAGTTTTATTTCATTAAAAATGAAATGCCAAGGGCAGTGCATCGATCTAACCCTTGGTGGATCCTCTACATTAGGTCAAATGCACATTTTGGTTCTCTATATTAACATGTGGCTGAAATGGTCCATTTTAATTTTTATTTTTTTGTCCTTTTGCAATATTTTAGCAATTTGACCATATTCGGGATTAACTAGGCATGGATATTTTTGGAATAGAAAAATAATTATTTTCCAAAAAGTATAATATTGAACAAGATAATACTCCCTATGTTTCAAAAAAATAGTTCTCATTGAGTTTCGAGTTTTGTACTATTTTTTGTACAAATTTAAAAATTCAATGTGGACTAACTTTCTGGATAGACGGCATATTAAATTAATAAAAAGTTAAAATTAAAAAAATTAATAAATTAATATTAAACTAATAAAGTATTATCTTAAAAAAAATTAAAAAATTAATACTTTTTCAATCAACTTTTTAAACCAGAGCCCATCACTATGGAATTTTCATCATATAGAAGGCAGAATAATGAATGGATCTTAATTAAGTATTGAAATGTTTTCCTCTGATGTACCCCAGATGTAATTTTGCCTAGTGATTACTGAAAGACAACGACCACTATTTTGTACTCATGAGATACCTATTGAACAATATACCATTTAATTCTCGTTCATCATCTAAAGACTAGTGACCAAACAAGAACAATGTTGACTCATTGATCGGAGACAAATTGGTCTAAATGAAATGTTTAGGCATGGGTCACTTAGTTGGAGATCCTGACCAAACAGTCTTTTGGCCGCGCATGAGTAGCTTCATCCTTGTTAGTTTTTGCACTATTGAAATGATCATGAAATATTGATCTTATTTTTGCGTTATACTCTTTTTTAGGCGAAGGGAGTCAGGATACAATTTGAAAAGTTCATTCGTAAATCAAGTGCTCTA